GCCCCCCCCCCCCCCCCCCCCCCCCCCCCCCCCCACCCACTCCACCACTCTGCTTGGTGTTTTCTTAGGAACCTACTTCAACGACACTTAAACTTGAAGTATTCTTCGCAGTTTTCAGCAAGATTTTCATACGCGTGTATTCAAATTTCACTTGCCTATTGATTCCATAAATTTTAATTTTATTAAACATTGAGCATCACCATAAGTTACTCAGCCTTAAATCATCAAGACTTATTTCAATCTTTGGATCGTTGAACTCAATTCCAACGAGATGTCATTTTTCAGTTAATGGCAAAAAGACTACCATCTTCTCCCTCTGAGCAAATATTCCTACCATTGGGTATAGAAAAGCTGGTGTTATTCTTACCAATTATGTACCACTCGGAAGTTCAAACCCCTATTGTAGCAATCTTACTGAAGGTAACATTCAAGATCATTGTTTCCAATCTTCTTCCAGGGTTCTGAAGACAGTATTCACTGCTGGTCGATGCTTTAGCGGCCTGTCATTCAACACTGTCTCACCAAATGCAGTTCATTAGCGCTCAGTCTTATTAATGTGTCAATGTGCGAGCGCACCAACCCGATTCCCCACTTAAGCCACGACTTGTAAAGCAATAAATCATACTGAACTAAGTTCCTACCTATACAGAGGTAGCTTTGAGTAGAATTAAGTTAATTTAATTGTTGTTTTATTGTGTTCAAGCAGCCTTCACTCTATCAAGATGCGTTTGAGGGAATAGAAAGACACATTCACAGTGGCACTTCTGTACACCAATTAAACTTTTGCATCTTTTACCTTAGTAATACTTATCTACGCCGGACTTCTTTTATTTGTAGTTTAAGAGAATTTAGACACGGAAGTAAGTAATTGGAGATACGTACTGTGCCCTACATATATTTATAGCTAATATGTCGCTCTTAACGCCGCATACGGATACCGACAAGATGGAAAAAGGAAAGCCAAATGCCCACCTCTAGGGTAAATATTATTATTTCAAATGGCAGGCTTTATGATATCTATCATTAGCCCTTAAACTTTGACTTCAGCTTCCCCCAAGGGTTGGGGGTACATTTATAGAAGTTAATTAATAGCAGTTCATTAGCTGGCTTCTTGCTTCCCAGTATCTCTGGCCTTCCGTCGTTGTCTTTAGGGCTGGACATATATATTCTGCCATTTGGACCTTTCAAGCAATCATGACTTTTCCAAAATCCCATACAGCCTTGCTAATTATAAGGAGCGCCTTAGCCATCAATCTCGCCTTTCCACAGATGATCAGTCAGTTCATTAGAACCAAGTCGGTGCAAAGGAAGAGCGGCTTAAAACGTCATGGGGATAGCTGTTAAGAGAACGAATGATAAAAAGACAGTCTAAACTCAGAAAATGGTGTGCCGATAATTAACGGTGCGCTAGATAACATCATAAGAGCCATGGAAACAACGCAAAATAAATGATATTTACTTTCAGCATCGTAATAATTGTGAAACGAAAGGAGGGGGGGGGGAGGGGGAGGGAGAAACAGTCTTCACAGCCTTTAAAGATATACACATATGGTTACCTATGAAGAGAAATCTACTACAGAGCGACACTATGTTCTAGACATAGAGCTGAAAGTTCACGGCAGAACTCCTCAAAGACAAAGAGTGCCATTATAATATTTCCTGACTTTTCATCCTTTACAGTTTTTAGCGGAACGAGGTTTGAGCTCGAACTCGAAGCGATTCCACCAAGGTGATGCATTGCTAGTGTTCGCCATTCGTGGTCACAATTTATTTTACCACTAGCTCGGGTCGGTGATGATCCTGTAGAAGATTGAGATGAAAGAGATGGGGTGAGAGCGCTTTTGAGGGAACTCAACCGAAGGCGCGATATAAGCCAGGAGAGACGCTTTGAAGATTTCATAACTAAAGCATGAAGAAAAAAAGACTAGAAGAAACAAAGTTCATCTAATTAAACATAATGTCATGAAAAAAATTACGCTCCTCCAACTAAGCTAAAAGAGATAAAGATCAATTTCACCCATTGACTACTACAGGATTAGGGTTAGGTTCAATGCGCATCCATTGAAGGATAAGACAAATTTTACTCGTCCGATATTTTCAAGAGATGGGGATACGGGGAGCACAATTTACTCTAGCCCTCCAATTAATAGTGTCAAAAAACGTTTCCATTCAACGCTCTTGAAAAACGTTTGTAAATTTTGTTCCATGTTCGAAATATCCTATCTTCACAGTATAAAAATTATAAATAAAGTAGTGCTTAGAGGTATATAAGTCGGGAAACTTCCAAAACATCTCGCCTTAAATACTGAATCAAAAGAATCTTTTCGAAAATTAAAAAAAACCCACATTGTGAAAAATCCACTTTCTTCAAAATATCACAACAAACTAATTCAAAAAAAACACCGAAAAAAAACAATCTACGCCCTTCAGGCTTGCGAAAAGTCAATAGTAAAAGTAGGATTGGCAAAATGACATGAATGAAAATTATAGGTGTACCAGACGGCCTGTAAGCATGAGACACCGCCTGATTCTTTCCTTGAGGAAACACAGTCTTCCGAAGGCCCTCAACTAAACTAGCGAAAGTGACTGCACTCTCTGTGGAAGGATTCAGTGGAACAGAGAAGTGGAGATTGACGTAGCAGTCAAATCGCTGTCGTACAGCCTTGAGAGTTGTGTAGAGATTTGGATAGGCATTTGGACTATGAGTTTCCTGTGATGAAAGAGGCAGCAACTGTAGACGCACGATGGAAAGCGGAAGGGCCATAAGGTGAGTGACTAGACGTGTAACCTGGAGATTAGTATAGAGATAATTTGATGGCATCTCGTTCACTAACTTGAGGATGGCTGTTAGAAAAGGACCTGCAAGAAAAATTGGAAGGCATAAGCAAACTTATGATTTATTATAAGCACAAAAGTATTTTATATGAAATAATTCAGTTATGCTATTTCACATCTCTAATTAATTAGTTATTAAGAAAAAAATCAATTCCCTATGTTGTGAAATGTTAATTTTATGCAGACAATGCCTAAAAAAGTTTGAAAGCACATAAGAGTTGGCATAAGCTTAGCCTGTTATACAACACGCATGATTATACCAACATAACATTCAAGCATGGGGAGCAGAAACTAAACGTAAACCAATCAAACACTTCTATTCCTGAGAACATATGCTCCAGTCACAATCACGGATGGAAGGTCTGAATAATTAGCAGGCAGACTATATGCCTGAATGCGGTACTTACCAGCATCCTCTCCACTTCACCGGGCTCCTCTGTAGATCGTGCTCTCAGTGATAATAGTAAATAATTCGAAATTATACCTAACTGAACTTCTCACGACACTGATTGTAGAAAGAGTTGTATTCGGTATATGTTAAATGCTACTTTTTTAGAATAAGTAGAAACGGTTTATCGCAATATGTAACCCTTAAAGACATGTAATAAACAAGCTGGGTTTGCGTGGCATTTTGGAAATAGAAAAGACGTTATCCAAGTCAGAATTTACATTTCAACAAGCTCAAAAATGTATGCGAAAAAAAGATCAAAATCGTGGATCGACTTATTTTGGGTACAAATTGTTTTGGGAAAGTTAGAGTGAAGGCGCAATTTCAATAGGTAATAACAAAGGAATGAGTTAACAAATACTTGGAGGTATGAATCATACGAAGAAAGTAAAATTTGCTGGAAAATAAGGCTGGATATTCCCGCATTAGCTTCGATGTTTCAATCTGTTCCTGCTGAGGTTATGGATTAAGCAAGCAGTCAAGCAATTTTTGCCTTCAAAGTAATACAATGTCCTTAATTGGGAGTTCCACTGTAAAAATAAAGCGACCTACAGACTCTTCAGTTAGGTGCATTTTAATAAATATACATGCTTTTTAAATTATTAGCAATTAATTTTTAAATTGATCTTTATTAGTGAAATATTATTAGATTTACGTAGAGAAATAAGCCTTCTCTTTATAAATCTGAGCAACTACGTTCAGTCTAACAGCAGCGTGGCTACAGACTACTCCTCACATGGGGGATTTAAAAATACATATACATATTAATTTTTTATTTATTTTATTGCAACTTACAAAATCACAGTTACTTATCAATGAGACCTAAAAAATCGAAAGAAGGAAAATCTTTACTGACATGGTGCGTAATAAAACCCAATGCCAAAATTTAATTTCAATCCAGAAGAGACTAAACTAGAAACCAATGTGAAGTGAAGGCAATTGGTTAACTATTTTTTTCCCGAACCGTACGACAGAATAAACAAAAGGAAGGAGCTCAAGTAGACACCCCATGTAAGCGGTAGGCCAATCTGTGATAAGTGAAGTTGAAGGGTGGGTGTTTACTAATGGAGACCATTCACAGAGCAGCTTGAAGACGACCAAACGTGGATAGGTCTAGCCACTTAAAGTTCAAAGCAATGCAACTAAGAAAATTCATCTTTCTACAGTACTCCAATCACCGTTTAGAGGAGAGTTGAACAAGGGAACCAATGTATACATTACGGTGTGCGATAGACTTACCTCCACGTGGTGCACCCTAGGCAACGTATACTCACACAGCAAAAAAGTCTATTAACCAGCAGTTGACTTTTGACTACAAACTACAATGGCCCCATTCCATGCCATATTCAACCAGTTTCACAGTCCTCATCTTACCTTTTCTTTACCATTGTGTCTGTCTCTTTTACATCTGTGAATCACTCTTCCGTTCCTCACTCTTCGACTTTCTCTTACTTTGGTGTTCCTTCCCCCTGTGAAACCTGAATTCAGCTAAAGGGCTAATGCCATTTGAAATAAATAACTATATGTATTGCTGATTGCCAATTACATATATAATCCAATAGTGAACATTTCATTGAAAAGCATTATGAACCCACAAGCAAAATAGCAATATTGATGCTTTGAAGTTGTAAATATAACCCACTTCAAGGTTTAAAAACGTGCAAAATTGCCTTATAATTACAATATTGATACCTCAAAAAACGAATTGAAGGATTATAGAACGAAACGAACCGATGGTTATCGCAGAAATGAAAAAAAATATGAACAAACCTGGATAGAAGGACACTGCTTCATTTGACAAACTTTTCAAGCCAGACGACGAAGTCTTCATGAGTGCAGAATCGACACTTGCAAATCCTGAATCAACCCCTCTAAGAACATCTCCGCCTTTGAATTCACTGCAATTTCCACTAAGTTCTAACTCCTGATTCTTTTCATCAAATTTTCGCATAAAAGCCTCAAATCTACTCTCAACTGACTTGGTATATACACAATTTTCTCCAGGAATTCGATCCAAATATATCATTAAGTCTGAAACTCCTCCTTTCCTAGTAATCTCTTCCAATCCTGGGGGAATTTTCTCCGATGATTCGGTGAGACTGAGTTCCATAGATTGTTGAGATGTTGCTGAGTTAGTTGAAGATATCGAGACACGACGTATGAGTGTTGATTGGATCATTCTGTCGGCTTGGGGGTGAAGAGAATTTTCGCCACTCTCTGCAAACTCATCGGAGTCTATATCAACGTAAGTGATATCATAAAGTGAGGAAGTGCGTTTGATGTCTTCCAAATGAGTGCTTTCTTTTTTCACCCTCTGTCGATGCAGTCGACGCCTTTTTCCTGAGGTGAGTTTACAGTTGTTAGCCCCTACTTTCCGAGTGAAAGAAGGAGTAGAGACTGTCGGTGCCCTCAAAAGGGCACTAAAACGTTCCAGGTCAGCAAGAATGGAATCATCTTCGGTTGCCATTTGAGTAAATCCATCAAACTCCCACTGGTTTCGATCAGTGCTTGAGGAAACGTTTCCCGAAGGGTTAACAGTAGTATCACACGCCCTTATATTTTGAAGTCCACTTTGAGGTAATGGTCCCAGCAGATTCCCATTTATATGAGCAAAAGGAACCTAGAATAAGACACAATTATATTTTATTTAAAAAAACAGTATTGATAATCGGTTGAAAATTGAAATCAATAATGGGACACATTAATACTTGGATGGATATGTTTCGGATAAATATGAATCAAATGCAAAAGCTGCACATGATAAAATAAAGAGGAAATAGATAGCTTAACGACAACATTGCGACTTGGAACCAAATATGATTAAGATTAGGAAATTTTACCAAGTACATTATATACTTATTGATTTGCCTTTCGTTATGGCACTCAATTACTTATGGAGAACATTTGCTTATTTTGCGCAGATAATGCCATTGCAATGCCTACTGCCCAATCAAAAGAATAGAAACATAATAGAACGTGGACTAGGTCAAGCTTTGCTGCATTGAGTGCCCATGGCAAGCAAAAACTATTTGATATAATTTCAAACAAGAGTTTATAATACCAATTAGACAAGCTCAGGCGAGTGTAAATTTCCTTAGGCAAACTTGGCAATATGACTGACTTAATGACCATAGAATTGCCACGACTCAAGTTTTCTACTCGTCTTTTAGAAAAGCAGAACTACTAAAACAAGGTGGTAAAAAATTGGCCTACGTCAGGTATTAAACACTATAACTCCTTTACAGGAAGATCTGCCATGATAAGAGCATGTGAAAATCGAATTGAGTAACTAATTGAATTTAGAAGAAGTTTGGACCAAAAGAGTCCAAATGGAATGAATGTTAGAACAATCGCAGAAAACTATCCTACGATTATTGGAGACAAAAACGCTCTCCACGTTATAATAAACAACACGTTAGAATACTAACGTAGGCAATCAATATAGCAAAATAAAAACGTACAATAGAGGGTGAAGGATTTCCAAGGTCATAGGGAAAGCGCCAATCACCGCATGCGGCTTTGCGCTCAGCAATGAGTTTGCGCACTTCCAACAAACAGTTTTGCATGCGGTTATTTCGCAACCGTTGACATTCAATCACCTCCAAATCGGACTCAGTAACCAAGTTCGCCATGGTGGATTGATTGACTTCAAAAGAGGAATTAAAAATATTATTAAGGCTAAACCACAACCATTCATTGGGTATATTTATCCCAGGAGGGAATTGAATACAAAATGTGTGGTAGTAAAATTGTGGATGGAATATGCCAAAAGATCTGTGCCAAGATAGAAATGGGGGATTTCAGTATATTTTACACGAAATTTAGGTTTGATCTGGGACTGTATATGTAAAGAAATTTACTTGAGCGCTCTTTAACATGCTTAGTAAATATGATTGAGGACACGTGTGACAATGACAGTATTAACAAAAATGCAGAAATATGAGGTAAATTGGAATTCAAATGCAACCAGAAGAAAGGCCTATTTAATAAATAAAAAGAAGTTATCACAAGCACGGTCACGCCATTTTTTTTACTGCATAAACAACAATTGGAATGGAACACGCATATATCGATATATGCACAAGAACAAACACTCAAGATGTAAAAAATACTACCTATAAATAAATAAAATGGAAACGTTTAGAGTCCTAGGGGAGTGCACAAAATGTCCACGAATGAAATTCGCTCATCAAACACTATAATTTGTTCAATGCTCGTGTCTCTGAAATGACTAGTCCTCGGCGATATTCTGCCAGTTAACCAGGTTTCCTATCAATCCCAAACATTCCTGCCAGATATAAACAAAATCCGTAAGCTCTTAATAAAGAGAGAAGGAGCGTTAAGGTAATAGTTCATTTTTCTGGGTCAGAACTGTCGTGACTATTGTGATTAGTTCGATAGGCAGGTTCTGTTATGCGGGGTGCTCCAGGAGAGAGAGAGAGAGAGAGAAGGGGGAAAGAGGTCCCAAGTGAATTCGGAAAGATAAATTATGATGACATTACATTAGCAAATAGAGTGCTTCACGTAACAGCGCGAAAGTGTTCAATATCACTTTAAGCACAATGCAGGATATCTTTCATTATAAAAATGCTTACTTCCACCTCTATACCACAGCAAGCACAAGACTAATAAGCTAAAAAGAAAAGTTGGCCATAGCGCTTACACTGGCTCATACAAAATTCTGCATTTCGAAATTTTAAATAAAACGAAAATAGTAATATTTTTCTTTCTGTATTCACAGAGGACCACTTTGATTTCGGTCACAGTGTGCTGATTTAGCTATAAAAATCGTTGGTGATCAAAACAATACCAATCAATACATAAGGAGTATACAGTCACATACTATAAATTGAAACTTAAACACAAATTTCCCAATCTACAACAGATATTTCTAATCGTTAATATTTTCCTTAACTATATCGTTCTTGGTATAAGCAAATGCGATAACACGATCAGTTTGTCGAAGAAATCCGCAAATCAGGTCAACACTACAAGTGCTGTGGGGTGGGAGTGGAGTGGGGGTGGGGGGTCACCGAGATCAAATAAATCAGTCATTTTGACAGATCATATCATGGACCCAAAATGAGGACAAGGGGTGAATCCAATAAACGTAACTTTCTTTATTCACATTACTATATTTATCGCAAATTTCAATTAATATATGGTCTATTAATGAAATTTGTAAAATTGCAATACAGGAACAATCTTATCTCGAGAAGCTTTGTAATAATTTTGAATTTGTTCTAGATTAGTAATTACATTTCGAGTGTCCTCTTAAGAATATTAAACAAAGATGGAGGTAAATCTAATTAGATCATTCAAATTGTCTTCTTCCAGCATTCATATCAATATCAATTTCATTCCACTCGTTTTATTAAGGAAAATAGCTCAAGGAAATTAAAGCAATCAATTCAATAATTTTACAATCCAATTATTCCACTAATTAAATTATACAAATTATTCGTGTACAACCTCAAAACACCAAATCCTTATGTAAAATGGGCAACTACGTAAACGATAATGCTTTCTAATCACTTATTTCACATTTCCCACCAAAGGGTGCGCGATAGACTTACCTCCACGTGGTGCATCCTGGGCAACGTATACTCATACGGCAAAAATATCTATCAATCGGTAGTTGACTTCTGACTTCAAACTACCCTCACCTCACTTACTCATCCCACTTTTTTCCTTTTTGAAACGCTCTTCTATTCCCACCCTCTTCTCGACTTTTTTTCACTTTGATGTTCAATCCCCTCTGTGAAGCCTGAAGTCAACTTAAGGTCTAATGATAACTATCAGAACGGCCGCCATTTGATATAAATAAATAAATAAATACATTTCCCACCAAGTGAATATAACCATTAAGAGTCATTTGTCAAAGTTAATTATGACAATGTGCGCGCGCATTGATGAACACAAATCCATGGTCCCTGGTTTTGTCCATTACTCTGTGAAACAGTTATTTACTCAATGTGTACATCATTAAAGGCCAAAGGTCACGAGACCGATCCTCAATGAAACAAATCGAGCAAAGTGGTTAGACAACTGTGCCAGATAATGTCGATTAGAACAGGAGACGGTAGGATATCGATTACTCCTGTACACAAACCCCAATCCATGCCGAAAACACTTTTCATAATGAAGTTTGTAACCTTAATTTTGAATATACCTTAAAATTATTATTGACTAGTCAGTTGAAAGAAGTTTTTTCTAGCACACATCGACAATAAACGAACAGAACGAATTTTGGAACCTCTGAGGAGAGAAAGTGTCACAGAGTTACTCTTATTTTGATGTACTAAACAATACATTGACAATGTGATTCCTTAGATCAGGCATCAGAATTTGCCGACAATAGGGTTACATCATAATTACCAAACCAATTAACCCCAGAATAAACCGGTTTTGAAATAACTTCTGAAAATCAGCAATATTTTAATGGAAGACATTATAGCTAGGACCCAAGTAGTCAGCCTTGCGAAAAGGTAACTTTCCATCCAAGTAGAAGTAAATCAATGGTAGGTAGACACCAAAAATGATGTACGTTAACCGATGAGCCACCTATGCTCATCAATAAAAAAATATCACGAAATATTATATCGAGAACTATTTAGTGACCTGTAAGAAGTTAAGCAACTGATGACTATATAGCAAAAAATGAGCAATCGAACTAACTTCTAAAGGAGGAAAGATCGCCATTTTGGCTGCTTTCCCAGCGAATGGCTTCAGACGCATTGTTGGGCCTTAAGGAAGGGGAGGAGTAGGGTGGAATGAGAGCCAAATACTTTCCAGATGAAGATATAAGACTAGATGGATTTGTGACGAGCTGTCCCACCTCTGTGTGTGGCTCCGAAAGGAGGTATCTAAAAATTGAACGACATTAGTGTAAATCCTTTTAATCAATATAAACCAGACAATTAAGGCACCTAATTCATGATAATGAAGTTCAGCATCTGTAAAGTGGAACTGATTTCAGAAACATCACTAAAACAAAGTTGTGCGTACAGCAATTGTAAACGATATTTGGCAAAAACTAACGTTCTGTTCGCATGGCTTGCCTTCCAAATGAGGAAATTTTCATTGCAACTTAAAGACCGTGAAAATTCACTCATTTACCAAATAAACGCATAAAAGAATAAAATGGCCTTGATTTTAACCAATCAATGTAATGCGGCCAGGTGATAAAACTAGCCATTTTAAATCGTTCTCAAAATGAACAAGTGAGAAATTGGTTAACTCCTGTTAGATGTGAGTTTGATAACAAAGGACCTTAATATTCAAATTGATTGTGTATAAATATATTCACTCATAGACTAATAATACAATTGTAACTCTTACTATCTACAAGAAAATATCCCAGCTAATAAGAAGAGGAAGCATAACTTCTGATTATTTTCAGTGAAAATTTATTACAGCTCTATAATGATTTACGTTAGTTTATTTAAACAATATGATGGTTAACAGTTGGTCTAACATTTGGTATAAGGCTGGTCAATTAGTAAAAAGGTACTTAATGATGTAGGTAGCGTTCAAGGTCAGCTATCTCCTGCCGGTTCTTGGCCATCTACATTGTAAGAAATCAGGTCAAGTTCCGAATTCCAACGATCAGTTAGAATGGATTTGGCCACACACGCGAGCTTAATTCTCTTGCCATATTTGCTTACAACTAAGAATCCCCAAAGCCCATTAGGAAATAGTAGTTACAGAACTTGATTTGGAAAGGTTGAAGGAATTCTGAAGTCACACCTCTGGTAAAACCTACTCTTACTAACCTTCAGATGGGCACCACTGGCCTCTATTTCACTGGGAACATCTATATTTACTTCATTTTTTTCAAGTCTTAGAGCGTCTTCATCGCAGTTCACGACTATGCTCCAAGTTAAAGGAAAAATCTCAGTACCCAAACACAAACAAAAGCGTTAAATTGCAGCACAGCAGTAGATAAAACTGGAATTAACCAGATGGGAGGAGTGGAAATATCGACAAACGACAGATGAGTGCTCTATGAGAGTATGGAAGGAACGCGCTGCCAAAATTTGGGAAGGCGCTTAATCAAAAGATCCGATGAATTTGGTATTCTTGGGGTCTAAATTGTAGGATCAACTGTTTAGCCTTATTTGATTCATCCACAAAGACAAAATGTGCTCCCTAATACCCAAAACGATCATAAATACTTGGCTCTACCGTTTTAATTGAATTGTAATGTGCTCCAATTAAGTAATAAAGCAACATACCAAGTTCCAGGATATGAAGTAAAGTTAGACTGCTAGAAAATGAGCAATTTTTTGTTAAGTTGTGTTCTGTTCTAAGCATTCACTACAGCGTGAGTCAAAAGTCCACGAAAAATAATAAATTTGCATTTGAAGACCACTCAAGTAGCATTTACTTCGATAGCCGAAGCCTGATGCCAACAATTTAGCATTCAGTAGTATAAATCTCATAACTTAAAGCCTTATAACATAGCCTAAAAAAATATTTTTTTAAGTAAAATTATATGTTTGTTTGCTTATCAAGGGTAAGAAGACAGTGAAACATTGAGCCTCGAGTCCATTACACGCAAACCGAGGACAAACGATCAAGGAGCTTTTCGTAAATGTTAGTTATAAGCTCACAAAGGCCCAAAAACCTGTAAGACAATTGCCAGAAACAAACTTAAAATAAGTTTACAAAGGGGATTACGACCTTGGCAATTTAGATTGGACTCGTAACGCAACATAAGTGACAACCTACCACTTGCAGTAAACAACTTCTTCAGTAAAATGCAACCATAGGAACACTCCAAAACACGGGAATAAAATTGAAGTAAAAAAATATATAAGTCAACTAAAGCCATAAGTATATCCTCTGTCAATGAATAGGCATCAACTGAAGCAGACAACAGATAAATAGCTGTCTTTATGAAAGGGGAGTTTACAGTGGTAATAATCCTTAATTAAGGTTAATTATTGTTCAGTTTTGCATATAGATCTGTCTACTTTCTGCATTCCTTGGCGTATTCCTGTGCCACTTAGTCACTTGCTTGTCCATTAATTAAGCAACCGGAAGATAAAAATTGGACACTTGGAATAAGAATTTATTCCATGAATTATAAAAATCCGCATTTTGGAACAGGAACGCTCTATTAAGTAAATTTCCAAACCGAAAAATCGATGCACACGAATTTATTTCACATTGGACAGAAGGTAAATCGGATCCATTTCCTTTTCCACCTTACAAAATTGTATTTGCGTTGCTGTAGGCTACGTGGTGTACATATGAGGTAGGAAGGGAGATTATGTGATATTCAAATGGAAACGATTTCATGCAAAAACCCAGTCTTGGGGGGGGGGGGTTAATGATTCGTGTTCAAGGTAAAATTGGACTGAAAACCCCAATAATATATCATATTAAAGCATGAGCTCTTAAAAACAAAAAAACAGGCAAAGTAAGTTAACAACAAAATCGATATAACACAATTTTTTCGCAAAAAAGAGGATTCACCTAAAGTTAAAGCATGTCTAAAAATCGGAATGAAAGATTGCTTTAAATTAGTTCAATTAAATTGATTTAAAATGAATTCTTAACCATGGAATCGCTAGTATATTTATTTGCTGAGATTATATCTTTGGAAAAAATGATGGAATATTTTCGTCATGGTCACAACAAAAGTTGGAAGTTAAAATTTAACCGCCAGTAATATATGCATGTATTACTGCAAATTTGAAGCAAAGTCAAAACAGAAACGTGAGGAAATCCAATCAGTATTCAAATTTAGTTGGTATTTGTCTCAAATCGAAAAGAGACTTTACACAGCTTATTCAAGACGATAAGATGACAAATGAGGTCTTTTAAATGGAGCAATAATATTTTGCAATGCTGTCTGAAAACGATGAGTAAGACATAAAGTAAGCACATGAACTTATCGAAAATTCAAGCATCTTAAATAGTAGTAGTTTAACTAAGAAAATAGCCTCTGTTTGTGAAGACCTTAAATAAAAATCAACATGCAGTGCAGATTTCCCAATAATAAATCAAACCATGAATATCTTAAGATTAAAGGAACGAAAAAGTTGGTGGCTTCATAAATTGCCAACCAAATTCTAACTTAAACGTAACCAAGAACCAAGATCCAATAAGCCTCCAAAAATCAAGAATATTTTAATTGGCTATTTCTGTATACCGAGTAAATTCTCAATTCTTAGCAAGCAGCTAGTCACTCCAAAGCGGCTTCCCGTAATGGAAATTTTCAATTTACATTGAATAAGACATTAAACGCAGATAGCGAGAACAGATGCGTTCATTCAATGAATCAGCACGATAATATATAATGGATAGCGAATTCAGAACAAATCACCGCATATTCGATTTTTGAAACAACTTATTTATGCTTCCAAATAAAATATCTCTTCGTTTCTTTTTAATAACCTTGGAAAGTAACCTCAAATCGGATCAATATACAAGATTGCAAATTACGAAAATGACACGTTGGAAATAATACGCCAAAATAAGCCAAATTCTTCAGTTAGTAGGTTAGCCCACAAAAAAATCTAATTAACTGTCAGAAGATATATAAATTAGGAGGGAGCAAGTGCGTGCTGTTCACTGTAAATTTTCCTTTGAATTAATTTCCTTAATTGGTGCGACAACCTGGAAATGATCGCACACGCTTTGTAAAATTGAAAAAAAGTATGTCACTGAGAAAAGGTAAAATATCAGTGATGTTTTTTTTCACCCGTGTCTTTAACTGAACTCCACAAGTTGACCAAGGCGATTACATCTCTCGACATTCTTTACCACAAAGAACTATAATTTACAGGCGGATGAGACGTCAGTGCACCCTAGTTAGAGCCTCCACTCTTCTCCATTTTTCAGGATTTAGAAGTTTAAAAAAAAGCAGGAAAATCGCAATTTGACGGTGAGTCATCTGTGTGAAAGCCAAGCAAGGCAAGCATGCCTAACAAAATTTACTAGGTTGATCTAGTAGGTAAGTTTCAATATATAAATAAGCCTAGTGGGTTACTTATTTAATTTAATCGAAAAATGTCTATTCAAAGCATTCAAAAAAGAGTACTTAAATAAAATAATAAATACAGTACTGAAAATTGGTATTGAGTGCCAAGAAATCATTTGATGGCATAAAAGGGAAAAAATCATAACTTCTGCAAAATGATGCTGATTGAAGGATTAGGTCACAATATGGCCCAATAAGGCATTTCTGACAGCTAGAGTGGAATTCAGGAAGGAATCTCATCCTATTTCAATAAATACACAGAATATAGGATGAAAGAAGATGGGCGAGATTCAGAACCCTGACAAATATCTGCAAGCTTTACAGGATCATCTTATCATAAGGTTGATAGGATTCCAGTGATAATAAGCATCATTATTGCTGTATACAGAAACCCAAAATATCCATTCCAAATGATTAGAAAACCTCGTTTGTTGAGAAAGTAAGCGGTTGGGAAATTTAAATAGGTAATGACGGTGTATCTGAGCGAAATTCAAAGACTTAAACTTCGATGGACGCGAATATTGAATGTCAATTTACCATGGTGAGGTGCGCGGTAGACTTACCTCCACGCGGTGCACCCTGGAGAAAGTATACTCATACGGCAAAAAAGTGTATAAACAGGAAATTGACTTCTGACTTCGAACTACCATGACCCCACTGTATGTCGTATTTTTACACTTCCACAATACTCACTTTCCTTTTTCTCTACCTTTGTGTCTGTCTCTCTTTTATATCTGTGAAGCACTCTTCTGTTCCCCCTCACGAATTTTCCTCACTTTGATGTTCCTCCCAACCGTGAAGTCCGAAGTCAGCTAAAGGGCTAATGATAATTATCATAAAGCCTGCCATTTTAAATAAATAAATTTACCATGGGCATGACAGGAAATGGAACAATACAAGAATGAACTATTTGTTTCAAGAAATATTTAATTTTTGATTTATTTTTAATTATAAAATCAAATTCGCATGCTTATTAAATGAACTTTATTAAATAGTCATTGGTAGGCTGAACATTGAGCAAATTGCTCAACTCGGCTTTATTCTGTACCATTATTGAACTTGGGGAGTTCGAGACTATTTTAGGTGAATAATTTGATCTATACGCGGTGACGAACGCAAAATATTTGTAAACCTTGACGATATCTTCAATGCAAAACGAAAGAAAATTCACTGACTTCTTAGGCAACGATGGATTACCTAATCATTTACAAAATGTTCGATTGCTTTTAAGCTGGAATAAAGGCTTTCAAGGAAGAAAATTGAGGAAAAAGGTTCTTGTGACGTGTCCACTATCTCCATAGCCGCTGTTTTTCACAATTCTGCTTAAAGGTGGCTTTCATCTCTTGTTATCTTGTATAGATCTTTCTGCATCAACTCTTCGTGAATGATGATGGCAAGAGAGGTTGCGTACATAAATCAAAGATAGTGAAAAATTAACGAATGCAGCCAAAAGAAAGATAACCTCAAAAAATTTTCCTGTGGAACAAACAACTTACGCTTAAAGATTTTTTTATTTATTGGAAAATAAAGTAAACAATAATTGTTAATTATTAATAAACCCTGCATATTGGTTAAGATAGTCAGTGATTAGTATGATTTAGAGTAAATTAAAATGAAATTTGATTAAACCTGTAATATCATTTATTAATTTATATCAAATGGCAGGTGTTTTGATAGTTATCATTAGCCCTTTAGTTGACTTCAGGCTTCACAGAGGAAAAGGAACATCAAAGTGAAAAAAGTCGAAGGAGGGGGAACAGAAGAGTGTTTTAAAAATGTAAAAGAAACGGATACAAGAGTAGAAAAAAGGTGAGGTGAGTACTGTGGGTGGTCGAATATGGCATAGAGTGGAGTGATGGTAGTTTGAAGTCAAAAGTCAACTGCCAGTTAATAGACTTTTTTGTAGTATGAGTATACGTTGCCCAGGATGCACCACGTGGAGGTAAGTCTAACCTGCAATGTCATTGAATTCGGGGGTTCTGTGACTATTTTAAGGGGCTAATTAGTCGCTAACATGATGCAAGCTCACAAAAGAGCCAATTATCGACTAACTGAGCAGTGAATTGTGACCCGTATATCCAGATCTATGCAAGTAAACACATTTTTTTCTTATTAGAAAGCTTTTAAAATAATTTAAGTTCAGTCTTCCTATGGACTTAACTCTGGGTGTTTGCAACCGCACTCGTAAAAGGCAATTACAAAAATACCAAAATTATTGATTTAAGTATTTGAAGATAAGGGTAGAATCGTCTTCTTTACAGAGCATTCAAAATTAGTAAAGAAAGGAAAGTCTATGGCAAGAAAAATTAGCAGACAGTAATAAGTGGGCTTGGTGACTAGCAGTTGAACACACCGCCAGGTTATAATAAATGATGACATTTTAGGCCTTTACGCAAAAATTATAAAGTCAATGCTTGCTTATCGATTGTTGGAATGCAGTTAAAAGTGTCTTTCATGGATTGGTATAAAACACGCAGTATAAACGTGGAGCATCGGCTTGCAGAATGTGCACATAAAGTGCTAAATTTATCTTCACCCCCGGATGGCTTCTTTTGTGCAACAAAATTGCTGTGCAGTTCAGTGCAAAACAAAAAAAAACAGCAATGCATCTCGCGTGTGCTGCAATGAGTTAGAAACACCATCACGCACATATACACACACACGCGCGCGCGCCGGTCGCTGATCTTATGTGATGCTTTGAGCAGTGAATGGGAAAAATATTTCCCTTTAAAATCCCCGAGCAAATCGAAGACGGACTACAAGAATCAATTGTCAAGGCTGACACGTTTAGTCTTTACATTTTTTATGGGGACATTTTATGTATTAGGATACATTGTACACAGTCGAAAGTGACACATCTACTAAAATAAACAATATTACAATCTCAGATGAAGAGATAATTCACACAAAAAAAACCTGGACCCACTGAAAAAAAATTAAGCAGGTTTAGCTGTTTCTTTTAAAGGAGAGCTCATAGAAGAAGGTTCAATTTCTCTAAACGAAAAATTTTATATGGGAATGAGACGTCTACGGAGTTCTAAACATAATTCGAACAGTTCTATGGATAGAATATGTCAAACGGCTATTCCGCTAAGACGTTGCTTTTTGCAAGGGTAAAGACTGTCACATCAACTCCCCTCTAAGTGAAAGAATATTATCAATCTAAAAATCATGAAAATTAGCTGCTTTAAAAAATTTTAGTAATAATGGAAAGAAATAATATAGACATTATCACAATTAGCGAAATCTGTAGAATTTTCACTCATAAATATAGACACCCTAAGCTTACTTGATTTCTGACTTCAACGAAATGTCCATTTTCATTGAACACTACAGTTCACTGTTTCATGTGACCCATATTCCTAAGTTCGATTCCCATAACCTCATCCTTAAATGTAGGTACACAAAGGAAATACGAACCCAAGTGCCTATTTTATATCAACCAATATTTGAGACTATCGAACATCATTAGACGGCTTTCAAGAAACAGGAAACAACACACAGAAAAATTTAATTTGGAGATATATTTAATAAAGCTTAAGTACTTACTTGAGAATAAGTTCAAACATAACATCCTCACAAAGGAGATCAAGAATTGTGTTCATCAGTGAAAGTGTCGCAATACCAGCCTAAAATAGGGAAAAGAAAATGTAGATACTAAAGGAGCTTTTCGCCAAATTGGAGAGAAAAATTGAATTCCTTCAACTCAGGTTAACTAGATTTACACCTCTGAGAAAGTGGGAAGAAATAATTAAGGTTAGATTTCACACGACTTGGATTGATATCATCTGATACAAAGTGTTGTGCTAAGCAAGTATCAAAAACAAAATAAGTGAATTACATAGCTGTAGAGCTCGAATTATGATTAACACCTCTTAACATAGCAACTTTCCTTTGAGCTCAGCTGTGCCGAAAATTGTGTGACAAATTTATTGGAATTTAATTTGCTTTCATTCGAATTTTTTTATCTCGAATACCGCACACACACACACCCGCACACCTATTCCAATGTATATTTCAAAGCATGGGAAACTAGAAAAGTTAAACAATTAGGCTACGTTCACAATAAGGAAATGTTCCCACCTAACCGTGGCGTTTATTTAACCTTGGACGGCAACCTGGGTGATGACAACAAAAACACAAGATGGAGAAAAATTTTACAAAAATATCGGTGACTACCATAGAATGTTAGTTGTAAAATGCTGTGACTAGTTGTTAAGACCTTCCACTCGATGGTCAGATAAACGCATAATAAAATAAGTCAATCTGCCTAATGCTCACCACCATCGCGATGGATAAATTACAGAAAACGAGAATTGAATGAAAGGATAATCAAACATCCCAATCGTATAAAGTTTCAATTTGTAAAAGAACATAAAACTTTCGAAATTAAATAATAAACATTTGAGGCATTTTACTGTTAAAAGATCCTCCGCTTTTTACACCTTCAATAGATCGTTTTTTTATTATGTCCGATGCGCTGCAAATGCAAACAAGGAGCAAGACATTAATTCCGTTCACAAAAAGTTAAATCCATCAAGTTATACAAGTCAAATGAGTATATACAGAAAAATTAATTGGAAAAGTATAAAAATTTAAATATCTCGCACAAACTCACCAGAGTGTTCGAGGCCTCGATTCGTCTGAGAAATAAATCCATGTAAGAATTTCCATTAGCCGCAGGTACAAATCCATTACTTCCGAGAAAAGATGAGAACTCAGAGAGGGGAAATGATTGCTCAAGAGCTTGAGTAATTTCATGCTTGAAGGAATGCGAAGCGAATACATCAGAATGAGTTGCATTGCGATCCGAAAAGAGAAATCGAAGGAGAAATGGTAACAGTTTACTTTCTTTAGATTTGAGAAGAATTTGCTCCAAGTACATCGTTGCGGTGGCCAACTCGGGTCTGGAGACCTAGAGAGATTCGGGAAATCAAGATATCATTCTTACTGATTGAATTTCGGGACCAATCACGGGAAGTAAAAAACCTTTGTAGAGGCAAGTTAGCATGTTTTCTTTCACCATGTAGTTCGACAACTAGTTACGCGAAAATTTCAGCTTAAAAACAACTTACATCCATAATTGAACAGCAAAACTCATAATGATCAAGAAACTTATCAAGGGGATGATCTTTAAGCATTTGAACATCAACTTCAGAGAGGAGCTTCGGCCAATCATCAATTGAGTTACCATCAATAAGTTGACGTGGAATGTCAGTAAAAAGAACGACCATATCGGTAGCTAATACCTAACGAAATAAGATATTAGGCCATCAATAAAACAACAGAAATACCTCGCACAAATTAGAATTATTTGCAATGTGATAACCAGCGCCTTCATTGGATGATGAAGACGCTACAAGGAGAAGAAGCGAATCTCGCGAAAGCCAAAGTAAACTTCCATCTCTATGAACATAGTTTACAAGAAGGTCACAAAGGGAATGGATTTCATCAGCAGAAAAATGGGACACTAAAAAATAAACACTAGCTTGGACAATATTACCATGAGCTGGAGAAGAAGAAATAGTGTCTTCCAGATTTTCAGAATGTAAACCCTGTACATGCTTTGAAGGGTTTAAACAAACTGACCAAAATAAGTCCAATTCAGAAGAGGGAAGATCAATATGGTGGCGAAGAGCAACACATACAGTGTGTAGGGTTTGCAAAAGTATATTTTCAATTCGTAGAGAAGAACGATGACTGCAAAAGTTGAAAGTGCACATCATGGGAACGAGAAACTAAACAATTTTTAAAGAATATCACTGACAAACCTCTTCTTTCAAGAAAAGCTTAAAATGAGGACATGACATAAGAATATCATAAAACTGAAGGATAGATCCCTTTAACTCTTCCAGATCCGCTCCATGAAATTTTGTTAAAAATCTATGCATCTCATGAAACATATCCATTTCGATAGCGGTTTCAAATAAAATGTGATATTTACATTCCGCAGTATTGAAAATAAACCTTTCTTGATTCAAAATTTTAGCAATAAGCATGACGTAGTTGCAAATCTCAAATGAATCATTGCAGTCTAGAATGGAAGTGTGATTTTGAAGAATGCAACAACTCACTTCGGTCCGAGTTAAAAAGGCACCGATTCCAATAAGATTTAAGCACCTCAATATAAACATCAAATTCGCTATGATTTGCAGAAATATGGCAATTTAGACTTAGGGTAGAAATAGACATTTGTTGTGGGAAACAAAACACAAGAGGTAGAATCAAAAGTCCTTGTTATAACGACCCTGAAGTCATCAAGGACATCAATCGTTAAAGCATGTATAATTTTAGTATATAGAGGTATTTCGTCCCAGAAATACATAAACGCATATTAATTTCAGATATGCAAACATTATTTATTAATGCTAATTGTAATAAAATAACTACATAACTCTGTTTATACAAAAATTCATGAATTTTTTCTGAATTTTTAAATAGTTATGTGATCTGAATTTATTCTAGTTAGCTAATATATTCTATGCATTAATTTGATAGTTTAAATCCATCATATACTCCGACTTGCTGCTTGGTTCGTACTACAAGTTTACATTTCTTTTCCTTTTCGCCATCTGTTGGACTTCTTTATATACTGTTAAAAGTGTTTTGTAATATTATCTTTCAATAACATGGAACACATTGTGACCTTCTTAAGAGGACGGCTTCTATCATCATCTCATGAAATTCAATATTTTGAAGAAGAGTTATCTCGCGTTGAACATACAATTCGTGATACGATTATCAATGGCATAAGTAATTCTATGCTTCTGGTAGGGCGCAGAGGAAGTGGTAAAACTCATGTAAGTGTTTTACAGATGATCTTATTTATTATTGTATTTTGCGAGCCTGTAACGTCATTTATTTTGCAGTTATTGAGAAGTGCCCTGGAAAAGCTCAAACAGGATCCAGTTGTTAAAGAAAACTTGATTGAAATTTATATCAACGGTCTTATTCATACAGATGATAGAATAGCTCTCCATTCTATTGCTACACAACTTCAAAGATCCTGTAGTGGGCTCTCCGTTAAGCCAGATTTACTCAAACTTGTCGATGATGACAATTCAGATGAAGGGACGGACCCAGTTATTGCTGAAATACGAATGCAAAGTTTTGCTAAACATCTACGTTGGCTGCTTTCGTGTCTTCGAAGCAGTGGTGATTCTTCGAAAGCTTTACTTGTTGTTCTTGAAGAATTTGATCTTTTCGCCGCACATCGTAATCAAGCTCTACTATACAATCTTCTTGATGTTAGTTGCCATGCCGATGGAGCCCCTCTTTGTATAATTGGCCTAACTTGTCGTCTGGTAAGTTCCTTTAAATATCTCCAAACGCTAACCTAGCATATGTTGTATTAATTGCTATCAGATCTGGAGATTGTATACCATTGTGGTCATTAAATATTTGGCATTGTGTTGTGGATGTTAATGATGTCATTTAATTCATCCATAATCAACTAACACTCTTAAAACTGTCCCTTTTATAACCCTTCGTGACTTATCCTGTTTGAAGCGATGGATGAAATCAACCTGTTGATCAGTCTTTTACTTCATAGAAGAGTGTAACCAAGTTGGTACTATGTCTTTTACAATAGAAGTTGACCTACAAGAGTATTTGTCCAATTCTATTAATTGTAGTTTTAAAGTATGGACAAATTGAACATCACTGTTTGGCGTATTTAAAATAGTTAATTAAGAGTATACTAAGTCAAGATATATAAAAATGAATATCTATTCTCTTACATTTTTAAATTGCGCTTTCTATGAATTCAATTCTGGCAATTCTATAACATTTGCTAACCGATAAAATGTCTTCTCTTATATTTAATTTACAGTTTTTTATGCTTGCCATAGTCAATGATCTACTTGTTTTTGCCTTCTGAAAAACTGGCTCATTTCTCTCTTAAATCTGATTTCTCGATAAACATCAGCTGGGCGCATTGAAATTTAGAAATATTGAATCCAAATTTAGTCACCAAGACTGCTTTTGCATTAATCATCTTCCGAGCTCGTATGTAATGCAATGTATTATGAACCTTGCACGAAGACAAGAGACAAGACGTCTTGTCCGCTCTACTTTATCGATTCCGAAATTAATTTATTTGGGTAGGTAAAAAGGTAGACTTGGCTGTAAGAGGTCAATTTCCATTGCGATTTATCGTGTGTCCTGATATTGAGGTGCTGGATATCATTTTTATTACTTATGTAATTGTAAATTTCATGATTTTCTATTAATTTTTGTTTTATTCATATAGGATGTAATGGAGATGTTAGAAAAACGAGTCAAGTCCCGTTTCTCTCATCGTCAACTTCACGTCATTCCAGTCACAGCCCCTCGCCTCACTGATTCCTCAATGACAACCACTGTCTCAGCTCCAATCGATGACGATGTGAGTGATGATGAAAGAATTGATGGTCCAGTGAGCCCCTTCCAGAGATATTGCCTTCTTGCCACCAACCTCCTGCTCATCCCTGATGATCAACTCTGTCAGATTACTGCCGCTTTGCCTTCAAGTGAACGCAGGTTGGTCACAAAGGAAGTGGCGGAGTGGAATGTGCATGTCGAGGCATTCTTCCGGGATGAAGTGGTGAGAGACTGTCTAAGACAAACTTGGGAAGTTTCTACGTGTGTGGGGAAGCTAAAGAATGTCATAGTAAGTTTCTAGAGTTCCTTGTAGTTTAAGTTCCACTTTTTTTACCCTTTTCTTCCTCTCTATCATTCAAGCTTATATTCCTCCCAGTAGTTATTTTTATTCGTTTCCCTTTGTTTGGGAATGGATTAAAATATAACAAGCAACTATTGTATTCATTGAGAATGTCTTATTGTTCTATATTTCTGATCCGGTAGAATTCATATCCACCTATTTTATATAAAACACTTAGATGGCTTTCAAATATTTACTTCTTGTCCTCGAACCTCGGTAATGATTATTAGTGCGCCCTGAGATTTGTAATTCTTCCCATTTTAACGTACTGATTCAGATCAATGTGTCACACTTTCCTTACAAATGCCGTCATATCATTTTATTCACTTCAAGGAGGTTTAGTTAAGAAAGTAAAGCATGAATGACGTAATTCTAAGGGGAGGGGGATGCCTAATTGGAAATACTCTCTCGCCTCTCGGGGAGTGTTGGCATCAATTTCTCCATGCAACCACTTTGCGACACTGTCTACTACGGCTCTCGGCTTACTTAACGTGGTGAAGAATACGAACAGATCGAGTTTGGGACAAATAAACTTCTTCCCTATTCCATTATGACTGCCTCCTCTCTTCTATTTCGTTTCGTTGTGGTGCTACTTCTACTCCTACTGATAGTAATTCTTATTTCTTCATCTGATTGCGTATTATTTTTCATTACTTTATGTCATATGCTTAGCTTTATTTGACCGGTATTTCTCTTTTCGAAAGGCTCTGCTTATTCCTAGACTGAATGAATCAAGGGCACGTCTAAATGCCCAAGATTTCATCAATGTTCTCTCCATGCTTCGACAAGATGCAAAGACCTCACTTTTACCAAGTACGTATCTGCATATTTATTCTTATTTGCTAGAAATATGCTCTTAATTTCCTGCCTTCTTGACTTTAGGCCTATCAATTCTTGAATTGATTCTTATTACTGTTATGGTGAAATTGCATGACATTCATGATGGTCAAGCACTCAACTTCGAGATCGTTTTCAATGGTAGACCCCATGTACTCTAATTGATAACGGTTATTTTGGATCCAGCTTCAACACGTGATTCTGCTCTCTTTTAGAGTATTCGCGTTTCTGCAAGAGCAGATGTCCTAACTACCTCTATGAAAAGCGTGTAGTGTCCAAGGCGATGGACAATTTGATTCAACTTGAGTTGGTCGTGTGTGGCCGAGATGCAATTGCATCAGTGTCCGCCGATCCGTGTGTTCGAGCTCGTGGTCGCCCGAAAAGATTTAATGTGGCCGCAACAGTTAACTTACCAGGTCAATTAAAACGCTTTCAACCGATAGCTTGTTTTGTTTCGGCACCACTTTTGGTTGCTTGCCTAGATGCCTACTCGGGATGTCCAATTGAACTGTCTCAGTGGGCTCATTCGAGAACAATGTAAGTGTTCTCCAGGGATATGCTGTTTCTGTCTATATGGAGAGTTGTAATTATTGTATTGATCAATGCATATCGTTTTACTTACCATGTCGGTTTTTCCATTGTATGCATGTCGGTCTTTAGTTTGGGAATACACTTCTAAATAAATATTTTAAAATTCATGCGTTATTCTGGATAATCGGTCTTTTTCAGGAGTAGTTAAATATATTATTTAAAGTACGTTGGCATACATTAGATAAGTTTGAGGTCTCGACATTGATTCTCAACAGTGTACAAGTACTTGTTCATTAACCTCAAAAGAGGAGAAGTGGAATGAGGGTTTCTCATGTTTAGTTGCTAACGAGATCAGATATTGAGGGAATTTGGAAACCAGGAAAATATTAGAGATCGCTCGCATTAAATCTCCGTGAGCACTACCCACAATTATTTGTTATGAGGAAGTAGGAATCATGGATAATTTAAAAAAGGATTTCATGAATTTTTCACTGTTGTGATGATAATGGCAATTATTCAACTAGCTCCATTTTTTCGCAAAACGAGGAAGTCACAGCGTTACCAGATTCGCTTGTCTTTGAAAACCTCAGACCACTAGACTCGATATAAAAAATTTGTTATCAAAAGGAACAAGAACAGTATTTATTTCTTTTCTCCCATTAAAATATAGAACTGGAAAGCATTATGTAAATCTTATCAATATACGAAAAAATAGGGAAATACGATAAAACCGCAAATCAAATTTAGCAGTATGTCTAAATAATCGTCCTCGATCATTTCCAAAAGTTCTTGAAATAGATGTAAATAAATTCAACAAGTAGAACAAGTTTTATTTTCAATGGAAGTAAATATTCAAACTCATTACTGTTAAATTTACTAAAATGGAGGTCCTTGTTTTGACTTTATCTGAATGAGTGTGGTAAATAGTTCAAGGACTCAGAATATCGCACAATTCGACTAAGTGAAATTAGCTGACTTTCAACCCTTTTTCAGTGCCAAATAATAAATGATTTCAAAGACCGAATTATTTGTGTATTTTTCAATTTGGACATTATTTTTTTCGTATTCATTTGGTTGCCTTTACTTAACTACACATTATGATGGTAATAGACACACCTTAAAATATCTCTTTTAGCCAATATGAAGATGTTCGTTGGAATGAAACTTATAAAAAAACATTGGAACGATTTTTATAAAGTTTGTATCATTTTAAATTCGAATCTTAGAACCAATCCGTTAATGATTGGGGTTTTGCTATGTTTTATATGTCTAAATTCCATTTCATGATTCTCTGGGTTGCCTTAAAATTAATTTCAAATCGAATTATTCGGAATGAGGTGAGTACTTATAATTATCTTACTCTCTTTAGGTTTATGGTGAGCTATCTGCCAGTTTATTCATTGTGGCTATATCATGTCCATTGGTCGTTTTATTATTTGCTTTGATTGTTCCCATTTTGTATGCTTTTATTGGGTTTGCGTCAAGGTCTAAAACTCTTATATGGATCATTACACTGGTATTGTTTGTATACTATGAAAGCACTGTAAGGCAGATCCTTGTGGTATGTTTATTTGAAAATACAAATTAAGATCCAAAACGTTTCTTGATATTTAATTTGTTTTATAACAGTCTATTGATAGGGAAGAAGCATCTTTTTTGCAAGCTACTTTAGCATTAATTCTTCTCCGTTCTGCTAGTGTTGGCTTTGAACACGCTAACTTATCTTCAATGTCTGCCGAACCCAAATCAATTCAAGTTAATCGCTTGAGTGTTCACGATCTGTTTATAATTCTCTCGTATTCCCTCTATCCACCTACTTTCCTATTTGGACCTCTTACTCTCTATTCCGACTGGTGTTCCTCACGTCAAAATGAGGTTACTAGGTCTGTTATGGTGCCATCAGACTATAAAGGATGCCTCACTACTCGGATTCTCTCCCGCAAAAGTCTTGTTTGGCGGGGAGTTAGACTTCTTTTCTGGCTTTTATTTTGGGAGCTTGTTATCCATGTTGTCTATCCCAATGCTCTGGTTTACTGCATGACCGAACCGATAATGGGTGTACCCCCACCCCCTCTTGATTCAAACGCCACGACGTTCCACGGAAGTCGCTACATTATAACTGATCGTTCAGCGCCTGGTTGTGCCATTTATCTCCTTGGAATGCAATTTTATTTCACCTACCTTCTACTCTATGGTTGGCCAAGTTGGTTTTCTGATTTGGATATGCTACTTAATAAAGGCACTAGTAGCGATAATGGTGTCCCTTGTCTTGTACCTGATGGGCCCCAGTGCTTTAGTCATATGCTGTTATTTTCACAAATATGGAGGTGAGATTTCCTTATTTTTAGAAATATGATATCTTATTCACATCCCATGAACTTTAATTGCCCTTTAATTACTGTTTCTAAACTTTTGCTAATTTTGCTTATTGCGACTATATGGGCCGTTGTACTATAGTACATATTTCATTTCAATGTAATTTTAGTGGTGTTACCTACTAAACTACCAGCGAATGCTTCCATGTCGATAAAATTAAGATTGGCAGTTTGAATTAGCTAAACCATAATTAAGAAAGGTAGATTAATGAGTGGAACATTAGTAATTCTTTCTTTTTTCATTTTTACTACATGCAATGCTTCTGAAAAAGAAAGTGATCATGCAACCATTCTTATTTGTATTTGGTCGTCTCGAGTTCGAAACCGCTCTGCGAGTATGAAGACTCACCATCTTTCATCTATCCGTGGTCAGCGTCAATTGCTAATTTCATTTAGGTTGATTTTTGATCATATTTCTTTAGTCAATCATTAGCAACTTTAATTAATTTCAGTTATACTTTTAGTTTTAATGATCCTGGTACTAGATAAGGTTTGCAATTCATAACCTTAATGAGCATACTTTCTTACATGCATATTTCGATTCCTTTCCTTATAGAACGTTTGACCGTGGTCTTTACAACTTCCTCAAATGGTTCGCTTCATTTGTACTTTTAATTGATAACCTACATTATCTTTAGTTTGCTACCATTTATTCAAAATACCTCTTTCTGAAATAGGCATGTATACTTGCCTTTTCTGAATCAATCCCAAGGACCGTCAGTTGGCAGAAAAGTTCTGGCTGGATTGCTTGTCTTTGGTTTTGTTCTCATATTCCACACAATGAACGGAGTAAACGGTAAGTCGGTTTATTTTCAAAATTGTATTTGCCAATTTCACCTTCACTGCTTTCGCTTGCTTGTCTCGTGCGAGAAATTACTCACTATTTCCAACTTTTAGAAATTAAAATTAATTTTGGTCACCTTTCGATATACATCAATTTCATTTTGTTCAAGGATATGAGAATATGTTATAAGTTACACGATTAACAGGAATGCAATTATGCAATCGATATTTACCATTTTCAAAATCAGGGAGTTTTTAATCTGTCTATATGGGAGTTTATTTTAACAGGGAAGGAATGAAGAGTAATTTGAGAAATGCATGTCTTTCGCGTGCACGTTTGGCTTCGGAAATGGGGAGACGGGGTTAGACACAGCATGCAGACTTTTGGACAGGCGAACTACATTGTGGGTGGTCTCGAGGTGGCCGAACAGTCATTCATCAGACAGAGGTGTCCGATGTTCATTGGGCAGTAAACGAGAATTACCGCTTGCCCCATTCCATTTGAACATGCCCTCTTCTCATTTAATACTATAATACATGCAGTTAGTTGAGGAGCTGAATGTATGGCCTTAATCACATTTATTGGAGAAAGAGAAAAGAGTAGATGGCGATTAGACAATTAAATATGAGAATTCCTGAGCCTAAATGGTATTTGTTCAGAATTTTTTCTTAATGCCTTCTAATCATGATATATTTGAGGGCTAAATAATCAAATTCGGAGTATTGATTTAAATACCATTATGAGCAAAGTAGCAGTTTACGTTGAGTTACATTCATATTTATTTGTATATTTCCCATAGTAGCTCTAAAACACTTTATAAATTTTCACCAAATAGAAGAATTTGAAAAATTACCAAGTGCAAGTTTGGCAAAGGTGAGTAAGTTGGCAGTTTGGGAGTGAATTGTGGAGGAGATAGTAGAAGTGGGAGTCAGAGTGTTGAAGAAACCTACTTCATCTGAGGTCAAGAATTATCATGTCAGGCTCAAGTGTTTTTCTTGTAAGGAAACTTTTGTGGCAAATTTTGACAGGATTTCGGTGCCTACTTTTTTTCACATTATTCTTTAAGCCCCACATATTTTCGACTGAGAATTCCACCGATCGATTGATCGATGAGTGTCGTTTGTTTAATTTTGGCAATATTAAGTTTGAGAAAATATACCCTAATCAGCTAGCGACAGCTATTTTCTTTTGATATTTATATTTTAAACTGAGTCTTTGTTGAATTCGGAGCGACAAATATTGAGGCATTTTTGATTTTTGCTTTCGTTGATACTGTCAACGTGATTGATGTGAATAATTCCTCGTTGAATTTTTATGATTCGGCAATAGAAACCAACTCTTTGTGTATCGCCAACAAAGCGATTTTATCGGAACCAAATACAATCAAATATCTTTCTGTTACACCAAAACTACCTCATTTAAAGTCCACCACTCTCTTTTCACTAACATTTCTTCATCTAGGCAGTTTAACTAACTTGAGGAAGAAATTAAGAAAGAATTAAGAAATTGGATTCTTGTGTCGAGTCACCAAGGCATGTAAGCTAATAGGAGGTGTATAAGTGTTGATTCCCTCATTAACCTTTCCAACTTCTTAAAAAAGAAGTTTATCGAAGTGGAAAGTTATGATGAGATCAAACAAGAGCTTCTCTGCTGGAAGTTGAAAAAGATGACCTACCATTAGGTCACTTCCAGCTAACAGCAAAAAACAATGTACTTTAACTGAAGCACATTAAAATGCGCTGAAATGGTAAGAAATGGTTAAATATTCCAAAATGTGTTTTTAGTTGATAACAATTTTAATGAAGACTCAATGTCTCAAAACCGTATCGTAAATTTAGGTTTCAGAATGGTCGCTAATTTGGCAATTGGACAGAACTGGAGTAAACAGTTACATTATTTAGCATTTTATGCCACTTGAAACTACAACGATTCTATCTTTCACTTCACTAGATTTAATTATTGCATTTGCATATTAGAGAGATCTGTGGCATTGTTTTGCACATAAATTAACCCAACCTTTATTCCTAAACACTCTAAGACAATGTTAAGTAGCAACATCAAGTGTCAAATTATTACCTGGGCTTCCAATTTCCAGCTACGTGTCCGACACAACTGACACTTTTTAAGTATTCAATTGGACAGGTCACACCTACTAGAAGCAAGACAAGTGAGGGTCGTAACTCAAACGTTATGCTTCAGAACTAAGGGTATTTTCATGTAAACAAGTTTGAGAACCCTCGTGTAAGGTGAAGAAGACGATTGTGTTTAGAATTGTTAAGAAGAGATTTTGAAACTATTGAATATTGACTGAAACGAATGCGTAAACGTATATACATTTGATAATCTATAAATCTATTTTCATTAATCGACTGTTAAATATCGAGGTTTTGTGAAAATCCTAACAGGGATTTCAAGGGAAAATTCCATTTCATGAAACTATTTTTTGAATCAAATATCGTCCATTCGAAAAAGTGCCCATGGAGGGACTTTCGGAAAAACCCTGCAAACTACAGCTTATTTTCCCTATAATCTCTCAGGTATATGGGTGTTAATCAATGTTCTTCAAGTTTTCTTCGAACAACTGATCAGATGGGCCTATAAGTCGACGAAATTTGGGGACTCTGTGGTAAGTGCTTGACTCAATATATTCCACTTATATTTGTTGTCGTACTGAATGTCAATTAATACCAATGTAGAGAGCTCGATTTTCACCGAATAATATCCAGAGATTGACGGGAATCCTCTGCAGTGTAAGTGGGATGCTATCATCTGCTGGTTTCTTCTTCTTCACTCTTGGCTATTCTTCAGGCATTTGGATACTTTATCTCATGTTCTTTGATCCAAGTAACTTCCTTGGCTATTCCTACTTAATAGTTTTAAGTAGAAGTAATCCAACAACTTTTCCATTTCAGTTTATCTACCTGTTTCACTTGTGCTTTTCTACTGCACTTATCAAATATCAACTGAGATGAAGAATCTTCGAAATAGTAAAATTGAAAGCAAACTTTGCTAATAAATACACACTGATTTTTAATAAAGAAATATCACTAACTTCATAAGTTGTTATAAAAAAAAATCATTTGCTTCCTTTTTAATTGCCTCTTTGAAACAAACGTTAAACATTTTAATGGTGAGAAGAAGATGTATTTAGTTAATAGAATATTGAAGACGTTGCAAATAGATCAACAAGCCAGAGATGGATTAGCTAAAGTCGCCATTTTAGCAGAGTTTCGTAAGCTCCATGAGGACTATGAACGAAGAATGCAAACTTGCAGTCGAGCATAATCAAGGCACAAACAGAAGGAGAGTTGACGCCGTTTACACTGAAGTAATGCAATCCCTTATCGATTTCCCCAAAACGACATTGAGTTCTATTGGTTATCATCTTGACAACTAACTACAGACTGAAGTGATCAGTGGACAAATTGAGTCTAGTGAGAGCCTAAATATTCACCGAAAGAAGCTCTGAATCACCAGCTGGCAAGTAGATTAGTCAGTGTGATGGAACCATGTAGTTTAACAGAACGAATCTTGGTGACACGTTGCTCAGGTAATTCCATATTCACTAGGATTACGTTCGAAGTATTACTTTGTCCTAGACAATCAACTTTTGCAAAAAGAATCTTTATTGCTTTTGTTCTGCTAAAGATGTGTTTCTCAGAATCGACATGGTGGTGTGTTTCTTGTAAGTGATATGCGCAGTTGGTATTTAACGTGAATTTTATGGATCAATATTATTTTCATTATTTTGCATTGATGTGAAGTTAGTGATTTTCTTAGACACTTAAAATTTATGCTATATATATATCGCATATATCATATTATGGCATTTGTTAAGGAGTTTACTTATAACAAATCAAGGTTAATTCGTGTCGTAATCCACTACAATATCATGCACTGTAATTTACTCTCACAAATTAGACTTATTCACTCGGAAAGTCGATATCATGTGAATGAGAAAAATCTAACTGTCTCAGTATTAACTTTCAGCAAATTCGCATTAAATAGGAAAAACATCTTAGTCTGTTAGCTTCTGTATTACGTCACCAAATCCAATGAAATTGATTTTCTAAATGCATGCCATTTAGTTGGCCCTTATGACAGTCAAAGTTTATAATGTTTGATAGTTAAATGTGGTTCAAGCAAATTGAAGCTTATTTATTCATAAATTGATTTACAAAATATGTGAAAGTTAATGCATGAGAACCAGGGTGGGTTGAATCAGTTATGCGTTAGTGGAATAATGGGGCAAAACTTCCATGACGTAAATAGAACTTATAAGACAAATGTAGAATATAATTGAAATAAGGTCATCGTATGGTTCTGACATATAATAGATAAGAATTTAGTTCTGTCTGAAATTTTAGGAGTACTGCTATGTAGTGGTTGAGAATATTCGAATCCATATTACTTTGCATTAATTTGATATTTCCTTATTATAAATTTTTTTAATAAAATCGCAATTTGTAAGAATCCAGAGAGCAGAGCAGATTCACAATGACTACGACAAGTAAAATACTGAACGATGTAATTCATCGACAAGCTGTAATTGTAAGTTAAGAATTATATTGATTATCAAAATAAACCATAATCTAATATTATAATAGAAGGTTGAAATATTAATAGAGATAAACCGTTAAATTTAGAATTATTTTTGATTGAAATAAAGAATTAATATAAATTATTAAATCATTATTATATTATAATATCTTTATTACATATTATATTTAGAATGACGAATTGTGACTATTTACTGTAACTGTCAAACAGTAAGTTCATTTGGGACCTTGAAGGCTTAAAGTAGCCGACTAAGATGCTTCCGACCCGCTTAATTAATAGCTCTCGTGTGCTTGCCTCTGTAATTAATACCCATCGTCTGTTTCTGGTTTTATTATGTCTTATGTTTTCAATTTTCATTGAAGTATGTAACACTATTTGAGCGTTATTAGCTTTCAGACATTGTGATATTTTCTCATCTTATAGATACCTCTCATACATTGTTCTTTTCGTGTTTGTCGATATGCTTTATCGTCCTTCAGTGGGTTTTCACAGCAAGACATATTATCTTTTGAATACGCCATCCCTACCTCAGCAGTTCACAATGTCTTGATTGTTCAACCGAGTTTGTTGCGTTTCTAATGTTATTAGAGATTGTTATTATTTCCACAAATTCTTAATTGCTGATCACCTTTTCAGTTATTCGTAGAGTCGAGTTGCGTCGTAAATTGGATTTGAATGCCAGTTCATCGGATTATCTAACAATAAGCCAGTTGTCAAAGGGCCCTGATGAGCACGAAGCCCGATCACTTATTGACTCTCTCAATGGTTGGACAGTTAAAGACGTGGTAATTTTTCCCTGTTCTTCATCTAATTGTTATCTTGATATAATTCATTGAAATAGTTGCTATTCATCAACTTGCCGTCTTTGTATTGACGTTGAATCAATAGTTCCTACAACCATCTTTTCCGAATATCTTCGTTATTGGGTCTGAATTTTTTAGTACTTTTGCCAGGTTCAGTTTCGTTTTCTGTTAGTTACTTTGAGGGAGGTTTTACGTGGATGCTCAACACCATTTAGTTCATTCAACAGGAGGTTAATACTTGCGCATTCTCGTTGAACTCTGTTCTAACGTGTTACTTAAATCTGCCAGTAGTGGTGAAGTTATTGCAATAACATGACTGCTCTTAATCTGTTCAGGTCCATGTGAATATGCGTAGTGGAGGGGTTGAAGGCGACCAATTCTTCTCTAAAGGTGTGTGGCAGAATCTCAATGATGTTGTTAAGAAGCACTTGGAGCCATCAACTGACGGATCACAACGGCAGATCACAGCAGTGTTTGTTAATTGGCGCCAATTGCGAATAAACCAAATCATCGAAATGCAAAGAACATGGGGGTGTCCCGTCTTTGATAGGTATGCGTATAGAATTTATTATCTGGTAATAGATTCTTAAATGGTGTATTGAAGGAGACTACAATCGATCCTATGGTGGAGTAAAGTTTCAAATCTTTCTAAAATCTAAATTGGTGTCAGTGCCCGCAACGCTATTTCTAGCACCCCATTTTACTTTGAGGTTTCTACGAAATTGATTGCGATTTAAATTACTTATCAACCTTAGATTGGTCGACAACCTATGAAAGTGAAAATGCTTCACAACTTGCATCTTGATAAGAGAAGTAGCATTCCAAGGTCTTTTAATAGAAGTTTTAGTTAGTTATCGCTCATCTAATTAACTGAGATATCTTTAATGGTCAAATGAACGCATCGGTTTAAAGACAGTTTGCTCGAATGCTTGTTCCCCATGGCGTCTCCAATAAGGGTCCCTACACAGTTTTGAAACCAGCTTGGAGTAGATTTTTCTAGTTCTTAATATATAGATTTGAAATCCTTTCAAACGTGGAAATTCATTTTAGCAGTTATCTATTGTCCATCTTACGCAGAATGAAAACTGTTACTCAGTTATTGAAATGCCTGCCTATTGTTTTGCGAACTTGATTACTCAGAGTCTTTTTTGTTTAGTTCAATTTTATTGCTTTTAATGGATTAAAGGAGACAGAGTTTATGTTTCCGCTTTGCGGATTATTTTATTTTATTATCCTCAACTCTTCATCTCTTGAGCTATGAACACTAAAGCTTTGTGTTCGAAATTGCCTTTTTTGAGTGCAAGCTTGGGCTTTTTGTTAATATTTTATGAGCAAGCATTATTGGTGCTCATGGAATACTTTTGTTTTGATTGTATTGATTTCCAATTTTCTTGAAATTGAGAATCAAGTAGCAGACGGCTTAGAGACTATAGTTGTCTTTGGAAAAATTAAAAGTGGTCAACATTGTTATTTCCTACTGAGAAGGAGGTGGATATGATGTCACGCCTTTATATTAAGAGAAAGGTTGAAATATGCCGAAGTGGAAAATTGAATCTGAATGTGATGGAAAGAGAACACTAGGCTAAAACAGCAAACAGCCATGTGTGAGCCCAAAGTTAATCTGCTGTTGCAATTAAATGCGGAGATTCTATTGCCGATGAGAACAAATCTGAGGTTTTGACTTGATCACTATATTGTTTATCTGTTTTTATTTCACCCGTATGGGCAACTATGACAGTAATTTGCATGTCTATTATCATATGGCGAACGATTAAGATGCTAATGTTGGTCAATAAAATACAGCTTAGTATGTTGAGAACTATGTGGGTAACGAAGACTGTCTTCACGTTCACTGTGTATTGCTATTCGGCCTATTGATGATGAATTTCGTCTTTTAGATATACTGTGGTGGTTCAGCTGTTTCTCCTTCGTGCAAAGTCGCGTGAAGCGAGGGCTCAAGCCCAATTGGCTGAATTGGCCTTCATACGTTCTCGTCTAGCCGCTGCTGATGCAATGGCAACAGCCAGAGTTCGTAATCATGATCATCTTAGACGTGTACTTGATGTGAGTTTTTGGCATGACGCAGAAATTTTTTGTGATGTTTACATTGGAATAGAAGCTTCAAGTGAATGAATGGGACAGTACTGAGGTGGTCGGCAAGACATTCATCTTTTTTGGCTATTGAATAGGAAGTTTCCTAAATAAGTGTGTTCGGTTGCTAACTTGCAGCCTTGGTGTGGAATTGAGATCATCAGTTTGCACAAGCACCTAACCATGCCGCGTTGGGGGTTCGGTTTTTAACGGTCGCAGTTACGTCTGTTGATTGGCGTTTGTTCTTTATGGCTCACATTTTCCACTTGTTTACGCTCCCCCAGGTCATCTTTAAAATTGAATATGTCTTTCTCTCATCATATTATTGCAATCCAGAAAAGTTTATGCTAATAAAAGTGGGAAAATAAACTACTTTCCTAGAGTTATACTATTTACTTCGCATCATATGGTTTGAGTTGAGTTTTAGCCCTTATTATCACTTGGCCTCCCCCTTGACCACATTACTTGGCCATCCACATTCCCTTTCATCTGCCTCTCCAATTGTATTGTTTTGTTGTTTAGGATCAAGAACGAAAGTTGAAGACGATATTGGAGGAAGAGGAGAAGCGAAAAGAGGTGACTCGAAAGCGACGTCGTGACCGAACTCTTAATAGGCTTCCTGTGGTTGCAGTTATCGGCTATACAAACGCTGGTATGTAATGAGTTGTAATTGCATATTGGTATCGTTAAGGAATGGATTGGGATGGGTATATTCCAATTCATTGTGACTAGGTGGTGTTGTTATTTTGTTTTAGATAGGATTTTGTTACAATTGTATTCTGTTAAAACAACGCAACATGCTTCTGCTTATTTATCTATTTGGATTTTATATAAATTTGGGACTATGACTTGAAGTAGTTGTAGATACTATTCGCGTCTATTGCAGGTAACGGTGTTCCACTGTGAATAAGTAGACTTTGTTTGTGCTCTGTATGTGTAGTGCTTGATGTGCTTATAATTTGTTTTAGGCAAAACTAGTCTGATCCGAACATTGACGGGAAGCTCCAAAATGATCGCCTCTCCACAGGTTTTTGCCACACTTGACGTGACCCACCATGCAGCTCGTCTCCCCACTGGGCTTGAAAACAGCGATTCCAATCTTTCTGCAGTGGGGGCTCCTGGTCTCCGGATGCTCATGTTGGATACCATCGGTTTCATGGCTGATCTACCACGTGACTTGATAGCTGCATTCAGAGCAACATTGGCGGAGTGTCTTGATGCTGTAATTTGGAAAATTGAAATTGAACTCCCATGGTTTCGTAGTCTATGTGACTAATTATCTGATATTGTAGTATTAAGTTCAAAAATATGGGCGATGTTAAGTAAAATGTTTATGAATCATCTTAGTCACGCGTAACTTGTTTTACGGAAACCTTTTTACCTTCCACTGTGATTCATAAGTAGCATACCTGATGTATGAGTTTTTAACTATAGGAGATAATTCTTCATGTGATTGACGTGAACCAGAAGGATTGGCCGAAGTTTGCTGCCTACATTGAAGAGGTGTTGCATGACTCTGGTGTTAAAACACGACGTCTCAGTGACAGGATGGACACTGGAAGTAGCCACACACCATTTCTTATTCGAGTTGGAAACAAGTGTGACCTAGGGTAAACATAAGTATTGCCCTGGAGTTTGAATTGCTTGATGGGAATAATTAAAGTTGGTTTCGGTTTTAGAATTCATGAACATTCTTCATTGCATCTGGATGTGAGGGTCTCTTGTGTTAGTAATGCAGGCGTTGGAGAGTTATGCAGTGTCATGGAATCTTGCCTTATTACCGGTTTCGGTTGGTCAAAACGCAAGTTTCGCATGCCCCAAGGAAATGACGCCCTTAGGTATTTAATGTTGTTTCTTCGTCTTCTTCTCCAATTACTTCACTGACGGTTAATACATGGACTTTCAATTTGATATCGTCTTATCCTCTTAGGTGGCTCTACACAAATGCTATGGTTGTACGAGTAGAAGGCTGTGCGGATGATCCAGAAAAGCTTGTCTGTGAAGTACTTTTCAACGAGGCAATATGGAGTCGTTTCAAAGCACAATTTTCTTCAATTTTCCAGAAAAAACAGTAGTTGCTTTATCTGGAACGTAGGGGATTTGGACTGTATATAGTTGTAAAGATGTTTTTTAATTTGTAAATGCCCTAATTAAGCAGACATAAACACTGTCTTGAATACAAACTTCGTTTTCTTTTTTTGGATGGCATAGTGGTTGAAAATCTACTGATCCCAGTATATATAAGTCAAATTGTTTTCCATGGCAATTGAATTAGTCAGTGTGGTTGTTTGGCCATGCAGAAAATCTGAACAAACTTACAAATCACTGGACTCAGGCACTTCTATCTTCACCAGGATTACGTTCGGAGTTTTTCCCTGGTCTATGCAATCAACTTCTTTAATGAGAACCTATATTGAGGCAATGACTTTTAGCTCATTGCTTTTTGGTTAATTTAATTTGCAGTAATTCATTGACTAAAGAACACAAACAGCATGATGAAAGTTAGCTATATGTTTCCATAGTCTCCTCTTCACATTTAAGAACAATGATTATGTTCGTTAAAAACGTTTTGTTATAATTTAGCAGAAAGCTGTTATACTCCAACTGAACGAGTTAAAAGGCAGGAGGATTGCAAACCATTGCATCCCAAATCCCCAAAAGCTGAGATTTGTCTTGAGATTGAGATATTTCTTACCACGACGGTCATTAGATGATAAAATTGACTTTTGTTAGTAATCCTCATCCATCGTATCTCGCGAATCAGTTGTTTCTAGAACCACCCCCTACTCTATTGCAGATTGCTGCCTTAAAATGGCATATCATGTATTCAGTAATCTCCATGACAAGTTTTCCTAGTTTGGAATGGCTAACAGGTTTAGCTAAACTACAGCAAGGCTTTTGAAGAAACAGGGATGTTACGTGGAGTACGTTTATACTGGCGATGTATATCGGTCGTGTCCTGTCTGTTAAGGGTATATTTGGGGTTGAGCTTTTGAGTGCATTTGATTAGTCATTATATACACCGCCGAGAGTTCTCTGAACTTGTGATCTCATTTGCTCCTCGGCATGTTATCCCTCTCGGCTTTTGCCATGCTAAATTTGTGCACCTAACAATCTACGTAGAAATGTGCTTGGTGGAAGAAATATTTGCAATTTGTAGTTCACGTAGAGTCTGCGTTTGAGTGGGTCTGTGTGGTTTAAGTAAATTAGAATTCATTTTTATCATTTGTCAATTTAAAAGATAGTGCACATAAGCGAGAGTTTCGCGAACTAATTGCGTTGCTATGCTATAATATTATGAAACATTCTCTAATTCAATTACAATTCATAAGACAAAGGAGAATTGTAATTGGAATAAGCTCTTTGTGTGATTTTGAGGGGCAATTGAAGAGGTTCTTCTCATGTCTATTGAGTTACTGAATTATTATTAGAAGTTACTAAGATTAGTAAGAATTCGTTCCATCTGGAAGGGACATTTCCTTTCCTGAATCTTGACTCTAAGATTCCTAAAAGAACCTGCGAAGCTTGAACTTAATACGCTTATTCTCCATTAAAATACATTTTCGTAATAATCCAAAACGAATCAATTCTTGTCCCGTCAATCATTAAGCCAACATACCTAATGAAATCGATTTTTGAAAAAAACATGTGCTTTAGGTGGCCTTTACAATGGTCGGAAATTATAATGCATTGCAATATGATGTGGTTAAAGAAAATTTAGATTTTTTCACAAATTAAATTGCAAAAGGTGTAGAAGTTAGTCAACGAAAACCAGAGTGGGTTGAATCAGTCGTGCTTTGGGAAATAGTGCGGAAAAAATTCCCTAATGTGAATATAACCAATAAGACAAAGGAGAACTAAAATGGGAATAAGCTCATCGCATGACTTTGTGCGATAACTGAAAGGAAGTTACTGCTGACTGAAGTTAAGGTAGTAATGAAGAATATTTATTTATATCAAATGGTAAGTTTTATGATAGTTATCATTAGCCCTTTAGCTGACTTCAGGCTTCACGGAGGGGAGGAACATCAAAATGGCAAAAAGTCGAGATTGGGAGGAACATCAAAGTCACAAAAGTCAAGCCACTCCTTGAAGCCGGTTAACAGACCTATTGGATAAGAAGTGATATTGTTGTGAATTTTCAGTTTCGAAGGCTTCCATCCAATTGAGATTTCCTTGTTATAAAATTCATGATCAACTTCGAATTTGTCCAATTACAATGGGCAGTGTTCACTCAAATTGACCACGACAAGAGAAAAGTGAAACGATAACAACACCGTCTTAAGTGTCACCTAACCGTTGGAGAAATTAAATCTCTCAGGTTTTGTCAAAAGTACTAGAATGATAATACCTTTCTCAAAGTTTGCGATAGATGCAAGTGGAGCTTTTATTCTCCCAATTATTTATCAACATTAAGCAGCTTACATAAATACACCATGGTTCAACAGCCAAATATTTCATCTCGTGAATTTGCCACACTCATTGTATCCCATCAAGTCAGAGCTCTAGGAAGTGATCGAATACGTCTGATCAAATTGCATAAGAAATTGTTTTGCCTAGTGGATATTCTCATAGTTATAACAAAATTATTATTTGTTGTTAAGTTCAACATAAATGATTACTAAAAATTAACTTGTACTAGCCTGAAATTTACAAAGGGTGTTAGTAACAGTCGATACGGTGGGAGAGTAAACAATTCGAAATACACTGACTTTAAACGATTGTGGTTATCTTAAGTGGAGTGGTCAACCGATGAGGTTTAGTTAGTTAGTTCGATCAGCCATGACAGAAGCAGCAACACATTTCATATCTAGAAGATCAAGCAATTTGATAAAAGTAAACGCTTCACATAAAATCTCAATTTAAGAACGTAATGATAATGTGGGCTGTAGTTCAGACTATTACCAAAAGAGGCTTGAGAACTGTAGCGGATTGCTACGATAGTAAAGCCTGACCGACTAAGAAATCTCTATGGCAGATTCTCCTACATCTAGCTAGACTCCCAGAACCAGCTAAGCTAAAGCCCAGTTATGAAAGGAAATAGACGTGTAGCGCGGAGCACGTTTAATCAGTACAAGTACTGCAGATAAAGTGTACACGCAGGGAGCTACTCATGATCAAGATGGGGGATTAGGTTAAACAGAGGTTAATGATTGGTCACTGCTTGTACCGTCGCTGCACACAGAGTTGTACGGCCGCACCTCCCAATCCGTACCGTCGCTGCACACAGAGTTGTACGGCCGCACCTCCCAATCCTGGCGAGCACACATGCAGGCATACGATGACGCACATAGCGATAACGTGTTCCACAGAACTCACAGTGGATAGATTCTCCATTTGACCATGGAGAAGAGAAATGTAACAAAAGCAAAACCTGACTCAGAAAATCCAATGAATTAATAATTATTACCTTCCCTAGTTTATTCTCTGTTTCATTCTTTCTCGCCTTTGCACCTAATTGCATTGCTCTAACACCAGCCGAATGCAAATTAATACATTTTTAACTTTTGAAATACATTAAAATTTACTAATGATACTTTCAGCAAAATTCTCGAAGTAGTCCATTTTTTTAAAATAATAGGTTTTAATTTCTCAAAATTAGTCCCCTCCTTAACTTAATATTTGCACATTTACCCATTTTACTTGTTAATAAAAATCATCTTTGAATTCATTCCAAGTCTTGAATGTATCAAAAATTGTTTAGAAAGAGTCAAAAATAGATATTTTGAGAGTAAAATATTGACTGAGCTAGACACCCGCCTTCAGGAGAATTCTCCAAGCCAACTTCCATTTTCAAGCCTTTCTCCGGTACATCAATTTTGTAGACTCGGGGATATATAGTATCCAACCAAGCACAAGGTACAGACATGTTTTTACAGTACCGGGTAATTTAGTATGTTCAGCCTTCCAATAGTAATCAGTTTTAGCCACACAAAGTTCAATATTTGAACTATAATAATTTTCAAGAAACGGCAGATAATTGGTCACAGCTTGTATGAGGGTTCCTTCAATTGGACGGTATAATACCGTTCCATCAGGATATGTCTCGAATTGTTCACTATCCGATGCACGAAAGTAGAAGTCAATATAGACTCCACAATCACTCATGAAAGCTTTGTACGGTTCCCAACTATGCGCAACTGGATATCCTTTGCTAAACGTTAATTTATTGCCAAATGAAGTTCATAGAGTAGGATCACGCCAACTGCCATTTTTCGCACAAGCCAGTCCTAGTTTTAGATTAGCATCTGCAGGTCTAAGGTCAAATATCCGCATTCGATTACTGGAATTGAAAGCATGTTTAGTCAGAATTTTTTCGATTCGTGGCCAGTCATCGTTCCTCACAGACATGTCATAGTCAGAATCGAATGGGGTTCTGCGAAGATATCGTAGTGATCCTAGTAAGGAGCCATATGTCATCACGAGTGGAATATTCTCTCTTCGAAATGAGTCACGAAGGAGTCTCAATGACTTTGTAATGGAGTCCGCTTCGTTTTCAAGATTTATGTTCGGTTTGTAGCATTCCATTAATTTCTGTGCAACCGGAGATGAAGTGAGCACCTGCTTAGCTCCCAAATTACTACACCACTCCTTCGGTACGATAATTGCCTTCTCCTTCCTAAGAACTCGAGAAAAGTACATCACCTTAGTTCCAACAAGTATTACATCGATATCGGGATCGTTGAAAGTGCTCTCGTTCCCAAGTGCCAACTGAAGGATTTTTTCTTGTGCATTGAAGTTCGACACCCCAAAAATATCAATATGAGCCTGAAGGATATTTCGGGAACAACTCAAAATGGGATGTAGCTTATCCTGAAATTTGGAGATAATGAACATTGTTAGTAGAACAATAATTGCAATCATTAACAATTTCGGATTAATATTTTTGAGACCCATTTGTGAATATACGTTCCAACTGGTTAATTAAATTTTTTAACTTGTTTATATATGAATCTACGAGTACTAAGATAAAATCAGGATTGGCTTTGAATGCGAAATGTCTTATGTTTAGAAACAGGAAATTGCCTATAAAAATACGCTATTAAAACCAGTTAAGGCGTAGAGACGTCACTCAAAAATAATTTTATTGCGAAAATACATTCGTATCCGCATTAAATGCTTCCTATTTTTATGTTGTACCTGTAAAATGGTCATTATTTTTTAAACTGCAGGTAAATATATTCATTTGTTGTTTCCTTTCCTCAAAACAGAGCTCGCTATTTTTTGGTAATTATGTAGCGGATCGCTACCCTAATAAAGCCTGAATGACTCAGAAATCTCTGTGGCAATTTCTCCTACATCTAGCTAGACTCCCAGAACTAGCTAGGCTATAGCCCAGCTATGAAGGAAACAGACACAGCACAGAACACGTTTATTCACTAAGTATATTGCGGATCAAGTGTACACGCATGGAGCTTAATCAAGATCAGCACGGCGGATTAGGTTAAACGAACGGAGGCTACTGATTGGCCATTGTTTGTACGATCGCTGCACACAGAGTTATACGGTCGCACCTCCCAATCCTGGCGTGCAGGCATGCGATGACGCGTTAAGAGATGACGTGCCCACAATCACATTACAAGTTGGAATTGAGGTAAAAAAAGCATTTATCTTTGATGAAATTGACAAATAGTGTCAGGAATAGAAATTGTGGGCAAAATTGGAATTCACAAAGAAGTAGTATCGATTTCTTAAATGCTTCATTAAAAAAATTTCCCATAAACCACACTTTTTGTATGAAACGCGAAAGTCCAATGAATGCCACGAATGCTCCCTCCTTCCTCTTGAGCCCATTTTCATTTTAGATGTATTCATCTTTCCAATGACTGTTGCAACAAAACTGTCCTTTGATTGTCCAGGGAATGGCATCGAGCTGATGACCAGATTAAAAGTTGTAAATTAGTCTTCAAGGTTATAAGTAATGTCCCAATTTTACAAGGTACAGTGTTCGAGATCACCTATTTGATTTCTTGCCTAAAATTTATTTAATTCGATTAGTCACACGATCTTAACTGTAAACAAGGGTGGTAGCGAAGGTCATCATTGAGTACAAGCTTTATGACAACAATTGAAAAGTTAACTAACTCTGAAGACATAACTCGAATTCGAAGCCAGTGTGCCCCGACGCTTTTTCATCATCAGCAGGAGTAGCAGTGGCCGGTTTGTTTAACCAGTCTTTTCTCCTTTGTGTGGGCTCTAGACAACACGGTTTCTCGTTATCATCATGTACATGCTTTAAGAGGTTGAGGGGGGGGGGTTGAGATAGACTTAACTCCACGTGGTGCAACCCATACGTTAAAAAAGTCTACAAACCGGTAGTTCACTTCTAACTTCCAACTACTATAACTCGAATGCGTGTCGTATTTGACCATTTACACAGTACTCACCTTGTCTTTCACTCTCTACCTCTGTGTCTGTCCGGAAATTTAACATCTGTGAATCACTCTTCTGTTCAACCTTCGACTTTTCATGTTTTCAATATTCCACCCCTACTGTAAATCCCGATGTCAACTAAGAGGTTGTTGATGACTATCATTATTATTATTATTTCAAATGGCAGGCTTTATGATATTTATCATTAGCCCTTAATCTTTGACTTCAGCTTCCCCCAAGAGGGGGGGGGGTACATTTATAGCAGTTAATTAATAGCAGTTCATTAGCAGTCTTCTTGCTTCCCAGTATCTTTGGCTTTCCGTCCTTTTCTTTAGAGCTGGACACCGAATCAGGTGGGTCTTCTCCATTTCCTCATGTAGGTTACATAGAGGGCATGTGGGTTGAGTGTATACTCCCAATCTGTGAAGGTGTTTTGCCAAGCAATCGTGTCCGGTACGTAGTCTAAACTCAGCAACGGCTTCGATTCTTGGCCAGTCGGGTATGTCGGAGAGTGCCACTGTCCACTATTTCTCCTTTGTTCGAGGTTTAATTTCGTCGCACCTTGAGGTCTGGAATTCTCTCCTGATTAAGGCCTTCATTGTGTGGAAAGACATCGGTCGGTCCATGCATTGCAAAATCGTTGTCCCCTTCTTAGCAAGTGTGTCGGCAAGCTCATTGCCTTTAATGCCACAGTGACCAGGAATCCATTGCAGGACCACTGTTTTGTTTTTCTCTCTTAGCAGCTCATAGAGTTTTCTACATTCCTTTATCTCAGCTGTTTTGAGTGTCTCTCTGTTTCCAATTGAGTTTATTGCTGACTATGAGTCCGAAAGTAACACCGCTTT